GCGCGCCATACCCGGGAACAGAACTGTAGCTACTTGTAGCTACCTGGGTCCGTATAAATACTATGTTGCTATACCTCTTACACACCTATACAAGTTCAAAGCACGAATGAGACTTCAAAGCTGTGGATTGCTGTGCGTGTGTAGAGATTCTCAAGCGGTTGACGGAAAGGGAACTTGAAATACTATACCTGGTAGCTGCACTATGGCTACCCTAGGTCTCTATACCTTGCAAGGTGCCAACTACACCTTTCCATTCAGATGATGCAAATGATGCATTTGGCATTTCTTGCATCACCACCCCTCAAAAATCACCTCCAACACAACCTCAAAAAACCTTCCCTCGAAGCACCCTCCTCCCCCAGCATGTGCCGAGTTGACGTATACCTTTCTCGGGCCACCCCCCAGACCCCCTAACTACTCACTTCGTTCGCCAGACACAACTCCGCTAGCGCCTTCTACGAAGGCTGGCTTTCGTAATATGGTCTTTATACGAGGCACGTTTAGCAAAAGTGGGGATTGCATCGGGAGATTCTACTAGAAAATAATTCACATGGATCTTGAAGGATTCCACATATCTTGCATGGTCTCACTGCATGGGCTACTTTTGAAGCGACACTTGCCCCAAAGCTTAAGATTGTCTGCCTCAGCGAGGGCTTGCTCCATCTTCCTCTTGCCATGTCTTCTCTTTTCTTGCCGAAACAACAAGGGCTGGTGGCTTCATCGATGTCATGGTCATTGTCATCAAAGGCATCCCGGCTTATTTTCCTCTTGTTTGTATTTGTTTGTTGCTCCAGCCTTTCATGACACCTGTCGACTCAGTTGGATTTCTTCCAGGCCGATGCCAAACAACAAAAAAACAATACCCTGACAATTTAATTCAAAGTTGTATCGAAACATGCTAGATACAATCCCCAACTATACTCTATATACGACAGTTACAGTAGCTTCCAGGTCTCATATAGTCTAGCTTTCACTTCGTGGAACGCTCCACACTCTGCTCCACTCTCCCGCCCGTGGTCCACGCGTTTCTGCCTCGCAAGCGTCTTGTGCCAGGGCCAATGATGCAGGGTCCAGCTGGGCACTGGTCGCCAAGTACAAGGCCTGAGGCCTCAGAAAAAATGTGAAAACAGACACAAGGAGAAGCACCACCGATACAGAATCACCTGAAAGCTGGGCAGTTACATCAAAAAGCCATCGTGCCAATTCCCATAGATACTAGAAAACAGGGACTTCTATTACGCGACTCCGACCCAATGCCAATGTCAGCTTGTTCGCTGGGCCAAACCCATTCAAGGTAGTCGCAAGTTAGGGAACCCATGTAAGAATTCTAAGAGGCCTAGGAATGTCATCCCGATCTCGACATCACCCCCCAAACAAAAAAAGAGGGATCCGAGTCTGCCCTTGTGGCCAGCCACTGAATCCGGGATGTCCAGCATGAGAAGCATCTCGGACATCCACCATTGACGTACCATGACCACATATGACCACCACAACTCTTAGGAACACCGCCTGGGATGAGAGAAAAGCGACCATCACCAAGTGACTTTCAGGGTGTGGCCCCCTTCCTGGGTCCTGCTGCATCATGACCTTCTGAACCCTTCTGCATTGAGCACAGGCCAAAATTATCCAAAATTCAAAGATGCTCAACCCGTAGAGAATAACCTTGAAGAATCACACACAACAGTCGACACAGGGCACAGGGTATCCGTTCGCAAACAAATACCTTGCCAACGGGTCGTTATAAAATCACATGTCCGGATCAGCAAATCATAAAACAAGCTACTGAGGTCTCTAGCCACCAAGCATTTTCGCTATCTATCCTTCGGCATCTGCATACTGTTGTTGGTATTTCCAAAGGGGAATCTCCCTGAATCTCCCGCCAGGACCATTTCCACCCCAGGCGCCAGCGACTGGCGCGTTCGTGTGCCCGCAGCAGGCTGCTGCGGGCGATCCGATCCAATGGTCGATCCCGTGCAAGGTGCAAGGCCTGTGCAGTCGGCAGGCACGTCTGGCATAGTGAAGGATGGACCCAAGATCTTTGGCAAGGCTTCACAAGTGGCACCAAACGCACTGTTGGATGTTTACATGTTTTGTCCTGCCGGGGCTCCTGATAGTTCCAAGATGTTTCACTAAGTCCTTCTGTCAGAACTGTTCCAGTCATGGCCAGTCATGGCCTGCTGCCACTGAGCTGAAGTGGCCAAAGAAGTGAAAACAAGGCTCATGGACTGCGCATCCTGGGACCCCCAATCCGATGAGGGCAAAGCGGCGAAGAGAGTCATCCCCGAAGTTGGTTGGGAAGGGTTGGTTGGTTGAACAGTTGGTTGGTTGGTTGGTTGGTTGGTTGGTTTCTTGGTGTGTTCCATCTTTTAGTCTTACTGTGTATATAAATATATGTCCTGTGCGGTTGGTCTCATTGTTTTTCAGATACAGCACCAGCACCAATTCAAGCGCTGCGACTAGGGGTCTTTTGGCTCCCCGTTTTGAGAATAACTTTGGAAGGCTGATCGGAAAATCATGTGAATATGTTTGGAAGTTGGGGTGCAAAAACCCATAGCAGTAGCAAAACGCAAGCAAACAGCTGTAGTATTCTTTGCGAGCTATATGTTTGAACCACACATACTACCCGCAACCGGTTTCTTGAATATCTATGGCCAGCATCCTAACCCGCTCAACGTACCGACCCAAACTAGCAGGATACGAACAGGCTCCGGGTTGAGAAAAAAGTGCTTTTTTGTTCACATTCCTCGCAAATTCAAAGATAATTACAGTTTATAGACAAATAAATATTGGATAGTGAACATCTGCGTTAAAAGTGAACTTCTCCTGTAAACAGCACCTACACTGTTTTGATAACCAAACGAGAAGCTCCTGAATGAATCAAGGTGATTTTTGGGATCCTCGAAACATGAACATTCACACGACCGATCGGGTAGCCGGGTAGCAAAACCAACCGTGCTTTCATGTGCTTTCCGCAAAGAAAGATTGCAGCAGTCGAAGCAAAACGGGTCAAACCAAGAGAATCCGCATTGATTTGCGGGTTTTCTACCGAGGACCTACGGCCGGGCAGTTCGTGGACGGTACTTAAGCTTTGAACCTAGCTTTGACATGCACCCAAACGTTAGTTCACCTGTGAGGCCATAAGAGGCCATACACCAAGCTTCCACTGCTGAAGCCAAACGTGGGTCAAAAAGGAGCTGCAAAGCCTCCCAGTTGGCAACTGGGACCCCGGAGGGACGAAGCGCAGACCACACTTTTGCCATCGAGTTCGTTAGACTTCACCATAGAATTTATAGTAATTTATAAATGTATAAAGTTTAATGATGTTCTATGTCAGCCCAAGAGAACCTCCGATCTGTACATGTCTCGTGTCTCCACACATTCCCGCATCGAAGAAAAAGACAAACAAAAAAGAAAACACGCCTGCTGCCATTGAGTAGCGCGCTCTTGGCTCGCCAAGGTGGTTCCCAAGGAGGTCGGATCTGCCTGGCCTGGTCACAGGTCGTCACTGTTCAACCCCGGACTCTCAGAACAAGGACGCTACTAGGATCTACTAGGTGGAGGCCCGCTAGTAGGGTCGAGGCCATTACCACTAGTAGCAAGAAGCTACTAGGGGCTCTTGGCATCGCTACTAGGAGCGACCGGACGCTACTATGGACTCTCGCCGTCTCAAAGCCTTCAGTCTCGCGAAACGGTGAGGGGACGTGGTGATGCGTGGTGCGGTCCTCACAGCGGCGTCCCGAAGTCCTGCGGCCTGCGGTGTCTTCCCCAACTCGCGCGGGCGTGGTGAAGAAGCCAAGAGCTAAATCCCATCGGGAGGCATTGCGGCCTGGGAAGGAGGGAAAGGGGATGGGGATGGTCTCAGAATTGGTGTGAAGGACCTGGGAGGGACTCTACAGACTCCCAGATTGAGCATCGACATCAAATGGTTCTTCAAGCAATTTGCACGGTTCATACAGAGTGGTGGTTGATCCAAACTGGGTGTCAAATCACAAATACTACCAGTATCAAACTGCAACATACTGCAACGACAGAATTACTCGTCGTTGTCTAGGACCTCGATCACAATGCGGGAGGTTCCAGTACTGGCCATCTACTGTAAATCGAATGCCTGAGCCAATCAGAAGGGAACAACTTGGACCATTGGCTGGAGCAAAACCTATCATCGTCGTCAAACAGAACACCCCTCTACGTCCATGGTGCTTTTCATCCCCGACCACCAGGGTCGAACCCTTTGAACTCGCTTCGACTCGACTTCGTCAAACTCGCTTCGTCAAAAGCCTGGAGAACTCCCCAGGATTTAAAAAAAAACACACACCACGCATTCTGAATGGACACTCCTGGGTCACATCCATCCCCCGGTCCAAGCCACAACCCCCGGCGGTCGTTCTGGGATCGTCTACACTTTGCCTGGGATCTTCATCGCCCAGCGGCAAGCGGAGGATGCAGAAATGTAGCTACTTCTTGTTGGTGTAAGCCTGCGACGATCCAGTCTTGGGAAGCTTGGTTCTGCCGAAGAGTGGGCGACACGACTACTCACTCACCCGCAGTTATAGTGGAAGTTTTTTTCTCACCATGTCAAATGGAGAGTCTCCTGGGACACCTTGAAAATGAAAGTCAACTAATTGCATGACCCTTACACCACCAGCATTCGCCGTGGGATTCGACGTGTCCAGGATCAAACCGCCAAAGTAGATGCAGCACAGCACATCCTAAACTGTGATGGGAGTTTGGTCCTGCACCACCTAGGATGTAGGAGACCCAGTCGCACAGGAGTTTGAAAATTGCCAGTATCTAGTAATGGGGTTATACTATACATTAGTTATATCACCACGGACTAAATAGTTGGGAATCTGTGCCGTGCCTCTCTGAACCACAAATGTCCGTAGCCTTAGTAGCTCTCGGCTATCCTCCATATTGTGATGGATACTTTAAATTGAAGGTGGCATGCTCTTCAATCAAAGACCCACAAAGAGCTTGATGTTCAGCGTCTATCTTGCGTTCAGTTTCCAGCAAAAATGCCGCCCCTTGACCAACCAAAAATTTGATTTTGTGTGACCGAACCCCTCAAGTCGGCAAAACACTTCATAATTACAGCACAACCGGCTAACTAACAAGAAATCAGCCCCTGAGAACCTTGATCATGCCCGAAGAAGAATTTGAAAGAGATTAACAAAGCCTATATACGCCGCTTAACGATCTTTGGGTTGGTCTTCTGAGAACTTCATCGCCCAATTTCCTTCGGTTCGCCGCCCCGCTCGTGGCTGCGCGCCTGCGCGCCTGCGCATCCTCCAAAAGTTGCATGGCCCAGCGCCACACGGCGCCATGCGCGATCGCCTTCAGCACCACGTTGATGCTCACGATGTCCACCTGACAACGCCGGGTACCGTGGAGGTGATCAACCAGGTTCCACAGGCAAGTGTTTTGGGTGACTGGTGACTGGGTGAGGGTACGCGCCCGTATAGTTATAGATTAATATACTAAAATATATTTAGACATGTATATATATATATGGGATCTGGTCGAAGTGTCTTCTTCCAAAAATGGCTGAAAGTCGTATTCAGATGGGGGCCCGCTACATATTCTTTACTTTTGGCACACACAGCTGGTTAATGAAGGAAACATGGACCAAACAAGTATTGGCACCAAATTGTAAGAGGCGTCACTAGCGGTGCAGCGTTTTCAGCTGATCTCCGAGCTTCAAGCCGTGCTTAAGCCGTGCTTGAAACAAAAGACATGTTGCAACTCAGCCTTGGAAGGGTCCACGCTGGAATCCGGCAATGTTTGCTAGCGCGGATCTAGCGGCGCGCGGCCAGCGCATTTTTCAGCCAGCCACTTTTCAAAAACCTGACGAGGTTCTGAACATGCCCCGAGGCAAATACTAGCGTCACTAGCGCAAGTCTACCGCAAACCTAGCGCCCAGCTGCAGAATAGGTGTGTTTAGCTGGGGGCCCGCTACATAATCTAATTGAAAAAACAACATCATAAGCTACTATTTTTGATTATAGACTTTTGGCCGGGCTCCATATATGTATTGTTTTACAAAAAAATATATATATATATATACATGCATAATATATATGCATATAACATATCATAATATTATATATACTCCAAACGGACTGAGTGAGTCTCTCCACATAGTCAGTCTCCCTCGTTGGCAAATCAGGCTCAGCCCCCCCCAGCCCGCTCAGGCGGCTTGGGCGGGTGTTCCCGATAGATGTTGCGACTCATGTTTGGACAATGTTTTACAATATCAATACTCACATTGTTTAGCCCCAAATCTTCGCTGCGCACCTCGACCTCGGTCTTTTGCAGCATTTGCATCGCTCTTTGCCACTGGACAGCCCGCGCGAGCGCCAGCAACCCGGCGCCCTGCGAGGCAGCACGCCCGCCGCGGCGGTGGGAGGTTTGCTCGAGCAGGTGCAGGGCCTAAGCACACGACCCGTCACCGAGCGGTCGGGAACTCCAGGTGTTTGGGACCCAAACATCTGGATATAGACTGAGAGGTGATCGCACAAGCTCAGCACCTCTTGAAGGACTGGTGCAACCACTTGCCGGAAGCTAAGAACACAACAAAAAACGATCAAAAACGAACCTTGAACGTGAAGCCTCGAGCTGCTCGTCAGCTTGAGTGAAAAACAAGGTGAGCCCCGCGGACCCAAAAGCAAAAGGAAGCGCGCGAACGAAGAAAAATAGACAAACACACATTAGCAGGCCAAAACGAAGCATCAGCCCCCTCCAGGCTTCGTGGCAACCATGATATTTCACGCATCGCGGTTCTGATGCGCATCCGTCCACCCCCGTCTGCCATAAACACCCCTGTCCACCCCTTGGCCAGTTTTGAAAGCCCTCCTTTAAACGGTCATAAAACGATTGCCACATGGCTTCTGACAACCCTTCCAGGAAGCGTGGAGCAGCATCAGCTCCCTCCATGCTTCGTTCCAACCATGAAATTTGAAGCGTTGCGGTTCTGGCATGCAACCATCCTGCCGTTTCTGCAATGACTTGGGCTGTCTTCGGCGTGCATTGCACACATTCTGGACACCCAAGACCGTCACAAAGGCCGCGCCAGACAGTTCCACTCGCGCAATAACGTTCTTCCGTGAGGCATGGAGTGGCATTAGCCCCCCCATGCTTCGTTCTACTTAGCATCCATCTACCTTCCACAGCCCCGTCCACGCCCGTCCACCCTCCCATCTCCATCCATAGCCCCGTCCACACCCATCTTCCGTCCACGAAAACGCTTGCCTCGTCTCGCTCTGACCCCCCACTAACGACAAAACTAAACGAGAGCCCAAGCATCGGAGATTCTTCTGGGAAAAGCACGCACATGTGTACTGCTGTGCCAGCGCTACAGTGCATCACACGCGGAAAAATGCTTTCGGGTCATTCGTCGTCTAGTGTTGAATTTTTGACATAGATTTCCGGCGGCGTGCATCGTTGGCATGATCAGGGCGTCGCTATGGCGGAGATATCCCAGGAGGAGAGGATTTGTCCTTTGTTTTTCTCGAACAAACCTTTGCGGGCTTCGATCTTAAGAATTTACACCGGCATAGACCCTAGATAGAAATATCGTTGCAGTAAGAAGAAAACAAGACGGTTCCCTGTTTAGTCGGGTTGGAGGTTGGACGTATCCCTTCCCAGCCCCGTCCCCACCCGCACCTCCCGTCTCGCTCCCTCCATCTTCCCTCCAGCCCCGTCCCCGCGTCCCCACCCAAGCACCTCCCGTCTCGCTCCCTCCATCTTCCCTTCCCCAGCCCCATCCCCACCCATGCACCTCCTGTCCAGCCCCGTTTTCATCCATGCGCCTCCCGTCTCGCTCCTCCATCTTCCCTCCCAGCCCCGTCCCCACCCATGCGCCTCCCGTCTCGCTCCCCTCCATCTTCCCTCCCAGCCCCGTCCCCACCCATGCACCTCCCGTCTCGCTCCCCTCCATCTTCCTTCCCCAGCCCCGTCCCCACGCCTCCACATCCACCTTCCGTCCCCGCCAACGCATGCTTTGTCTTGCTCTTCCGCGGCACTAGCGACTAAACGAGAACCCAAGCGTCGGAATACATGTCATGGGAGGGTCATGGTGAGCACGCTAGGTGTTGACTGATTCAAATACGTCATGGAAGTTCCAACGCATGGCCATACTCTGAATCGTTCTGAATGATGCAGGATCAACATGAGGATGGACACTGGTACAGCTCACCACCCAGGTACGCGTTATGGCGAAAAGGGTTCAATGACCTCAACTCGATCACAGTATTGGCGCTCCGCACCCTGAAGCAAAATACAACCCATTGCCACTTGTCCTCACTTGGGTATGACTCCAGTGGCAAAGAACCCTTCTGGAACATCTCTCAAATATATACTGTAACAATCTGTAACATCTCCTTGTGATGTATATAATATCTCATATCTGTAACATCAATATATATATATAATATGTAACATCTCCTTGCGATTCCCTCAGATTCCCTGTCAAATCATTCCTCCAATTCGTCACCACGTCCACGCCCTCCACACCGTCCACTGACCACTCGAAACGAAGGAGCCACTGACCACTGCGCAGCCTGGGCCATAGCGTGCACGGTGGCCCCAAGAGCCGCCTCGTCCAGAGAGATCTCTCCTGAGTGCAGCTCCGGTCTGTCTGGCAGTCTGGCAGCGCCAAATGAAAGATCTATTCGAAACACTTTCTATGAACAACTTTGAAGCTTTCGGAGACCGGAGCTTCGAAAAACTGTGGCCTGACAATGGCACCTCTTGAAAGGACAAGTAGACCAATGGACCAATCCACAAGGTGTTTTCTTTGAGGGTGATTGGTCTGTTTGGTCTGTGGTCACCTGTGCGTGGTGAGAACCTTAGTGACTTTCCCTTGAGGCAAAGATTATTTATGTTTGCACGTACTGCCGAAGGGTTCCTTTGGTGTTCACATGTTTTCACCAAATGTTTTGAGACTTCTTGGGATGATCTAGCTGCTGGGATCAGCAACATAAGCTCTCAAAGGGTCAAGCGGATTCAGTTTTTGTCCAGTCTGTATTTGTATCTGTATAAACCTCCCGTCCCAAGGGACAGATAGGTTGTGGCTTCCAGGTGATGGGTCTTTTTCAATGGGCCAAGCCAAATGGGATTGTCCATTACACCAACTTGTGCATCGTAGATGTATGTATATATATATATATGTATATGTGCCGGGTGTGTAATTTAATAGGGAAACCACCAACCAATCGATTTTGGTATATTTTCCTTCTTCCAGGTGGTCTTTGGTAAGTCTCCCTTCTTGAGCTCCACACCCATATGTATGTGTATACATATATACCGCCGGACTGAAAGTTAGAATGTGGTTTTGGAAACGGCCGATGCCGAATGACCCCAAATTTCGGACCGGCAAACCCTACATTCTAAGTGTGGTGGTTAGAATGTGCCAAAAACCAGTTAGAATGCGTCTCATCATGGTTTAGCAACACATAAGGAGCAAAAAAGATAATGCAAAGTGAAGGTTTTACACTAACCTCCCACCAGACATGGCTCAAAGCTTGATGCCATATACAGACAAATGCATTCAAACCATGCATAAAGAGATACAGCCCTGTGATCCCAAGGAGGAGTCATACTGTACTTAGTGAAGACACCAGTGAGTATTGGAAACCCTGCTGCCACTGTGACCCCCACTTACAGGGCCCAACCCTGCCATTGTCGGTTTAGAGATACAACTGCCTGCTATTTATCAGCCTGCACCATCTTTCAGTGCAGTTTTGAGCGCCATGTCAAAACCAATGGAGCGAAAGATCACAGAGGTTTTGCTTCACGCTGCACCAGTAGGCAGGGTCCAACAGTTAGAATGTGGTAAATCAACTATACAGGATGCACCAGTAGGCAGGGTCCGACAGTTAGAATGTTGCAATTCAACTACTGTATACAGGATGCACCAGTAGGCAGGGTCCAACAGTTAGAATGTGGCAAATCAACTATACAGTGCAGGATGCACCAGTAGGCAGGGTCCGACAGTTAGAATGTTGCAAATCAACTATATATATATATTATATATATATATATCGCAAGTCACAAGCTATATATACATACACAATGTGACTGGTATACAATAATACGTGCAGTTCTTCATACAGGCAGCAGCACAGCAGTTCTATCCTGGGCAGGTGTTCAGCACCCGGGAGAAGCAATACCTCCACCTTTGCCGGCTCCATCCAATCCACCATCAGACATTGAAGATGATCAACCTGCATCGAGTTCCACTCCCTTGCCAACCGATGCATCAAAATCCACTCCCTTGCCAACCGGTGCGAAAGAGTACAAAACGATGTTTCTTGCGCACATTGAAGAACTTCTTTTTGTTTGTGTCTCTTGTGCAAAAAGAAGGGGTTGGTACTAGATTGCGGTGAGTTGTGATTCACCAGGTGAATAATGAGCGCATATGTGCAAACATGTACCTGAATTGCTCAAACCAGGTTCCAGGTTCGCATTGGGGCGGACCTGCGCAAGTTCATGAGAGCGGACTATGGAGACATGACCACGGCCTGCATGGCTGCATGACAATTCCGAAAGCAAGTCTTGGCTCTGCAGGCTGATTTGAGCTTACTTCGTGGTAAGGCCCGGCAGTTTGTATAACCCTTGCTTCGCGCGGCGCGAAGTGTGCGGGACCATGCAAACCACATTGTAATGGCCAATTTCCAGTCTGTCGGCATATCTGCATGTGAATATGATATTGATATTAACATACCATTACATATATATATATATATAGTAGGCATTTGTTTTGAAATTTCACTGGTAAGGAGCCTCATTGGCACACATTCTAAGTGTAGCTGTGAAACATCTCACAAAAGACAGGCTCGGGCAGAGTGGCTATCATCGCATGGCATCAAGATCATAGGCCGGAAGACACTAGCGCAACAGGAGGACATCTTTGTGGGGGCGTGTTGCCGTGGAGACGTCAGCACAGGGCTCAGTAGAAGTGAAGCAAGAAGTGTCGTTTAAACAGATATGAATTGTATCTGTGATTCATTGTGTGTAATATATATATAGCTTCTTTGTGCAAAACCCCATGGAGACTGGGAAAGAATGATGCCAACGGCAAAATTTCAGACTCTGGGTACATTGACAATGAGGCTCTGTGGAGAACAATTTCATTTCCGCTTTGTCTCCGACTCCATCGGCAAGCATTGCACGGGACTTTGAAAAAAAGACCTTCGTGGTAAGCTTTGACACCGGCGCAGAGAAGTTGACCCATTCCTGTGAAAGCTTGGCAATGTGCCTAAATTGGATTGGGCGAATGCAGCACGCTGGTACTCGAGGTAAATGGAGCAAAGGACAGGAGGCACATGAGCGCAATAATAAAACCCAAGGGCCCAAAGTTGTAATGGAAACGTGAAATGCCAAACAAAGGAACTCCGGAGGAATCAATAGACCATGCATGGACATAGTGTAGAAATGTTTAAAGTCTTATAGACATCTTACAAAGGAACTATATATATATATAAAGGGAAACAAAAACTATATATATATATCGTTTTGTTTCTAAGATGTTGACAGTACATTGAAATGTTGTATATATTACAATTGTGTGGCATTCTAACTGTAGACACAATTTGTGCCCAGGCCACCGAGAAAGCCAGGCAGTTTGCCAAGCAGGCTTGTCAGGATTGCGATGACCCTGGGGCTGATATCTTCTCCAAGACAGAGGAGAACAAAACAATGTGTTTGGCAAATGGAGAGGACATCACTCAGCTTGTGCTTTCCCCACCTATTGGGAAGGATGGCCCAGAAAAGCCACGCTCAGAGATTGCCATCCAAAAGGCAGCCTTGCTCTCCTTTCAAACTTGGGCTGTTCGCACCCCTGGCATTGTGGGAGCGCTGATTGGACAAGTTGTCAAGAACAGGATTGCTTGCCATAGTGTCGTGGTCAGCACAACCATTGAGGAATTGATCAATGCGCAGAAGGTCAAAGCTGTGTGCGAATCTAATAGCATGAACATTTACGGGGTCGTGCTTGCCGGTCAGTTTGGAGATACTGAAAACGCGGCTTTGGGACGGAGCTACCTTGCTGCTTTGAAAGATGCGTCACACGTGGACGCTAGCAACTGTGTCTTTGCCGCTTGGCTAGCTTTAGGTATATATAACTCTATATATATATATATATGTGTGTGTGTGGTGTTATATATAATATGATTGAACTTCATCACGTGATGTCCAGCCTTTTTATGAAGTTCTTTCAGGTCGACCCTGAGATGCCTGGTCAGCTCACAATCACTGAGTTGATCCAAGCGCACGAGCAAGTTTTGGAGGAGAGAAAGCCGGTTTGGACACATATGCGAAGCCAAGCTTTGGGCACCTTGTGTTGGGTGGAAGATCTCCTTGAATCTAGCCGCACCAGACTTTACAAACAAGTGATCAAAGCTGTCTTGAAGAACATCGATGCCAGCCCTGACAATGAGCCCAAGTTGCTGTCATTTACTGTGGTCAGCATCCCTGCGGATGGACGTTGCGGCTGGCGGTCCATCTTAGCATCCATTGATCCTCGCGCTTATCAAAGTGTACCCAGGAGCGCACTAGTTTCAGCGAGGGTTGCAGTTGGCCACAGCTATATTGGTTGACAGATAGAATGTGGTATGAGCATCTCCTTTCAACTTTTTTGATATTTACATATATATATAGGCATATATAGGCTATACATGCGCAATTATGCAGAGAGACCTACACCTGTTCTGCCTGCCACCGACATGTACGCGCAACCAATTGTTTCCTTGCAGGAACGATGCAATGTATCCAATTAACCATCTCCAAAACCAACAAGAAGTTGAGGATGCCAAGGAGCTTTGCACTGAGGTTTGACTCTAGCTTGGTGATTTGGTAACCTTTTCTTTTACTTTTGGCAAACAACATTCATGTCATTACCTGCTGGTTATGCGCAACCTATGGCTTGTGTGTATATATATATATAAATATATATAGTGTATTTGTTTGGATGGGATTGACGGGTTATTATCAATTTCACTTTAATTCTGAGGTGCTTACGCAATCGAGCATTTTCCTGACTTTGAAGCTGACATTCTCAGGGTTCAGCAGGATCCAGCATTCCTCATATCTGATCTGCATTGGATAGCAGCTTCTTTGGGCAAGTCCATTCGTTTGACTATCCAGCGAGATGTGTGGGATTCAGTGTCCGAGGCATTCCCCTGGATCAAGCCAGACAGTGTTTTTGGTGATGGCATGGTTGGTCCCCACTTGCTCTTCACGTGGCAAAAGGCTTGCAGTGAAGAGAGGCTCTTTGGACACTATGATATCCTGGTTCCAAGCACAATCAGCACGTCCCTTAAACTACCCCAAGATGCTGCTTGCTTGGAAATTAATCATCGCTCAAACGAAGGTGGAGAAGTCCTTGAGTTTACTTACAAGTATAGTATATATATATATAGCCAAACGAGGTACTTGAATGGTGGTACATTCTAACTGTGTATTGCAAATTGGCCAAGGCTGACGTGCCCTCTGCAGCGCCTGGTGTGAGTACCAGTACTACAACGAAGGATTGACTAAGGGGGCCAGGGCTAGGGGCTCAGGGCTGAAGCATCAGCAGTCACGCTGCCTTTCACAAACTCTTCTCAATACCATAGG